GGCTCCCTGGAGCTCACTAGGCAGGCGGTCTAGCACGGCTGATAAGCTCCAGGTGCAGTGAGAGAGCCCTGTCTTGGAAAATGAGGTGGAAGCCAATGAGATGGCTCAGCGGGGTGAAGAGCTTACAGCCAGGCCTGACGGAGTTCCGTCACTGCTGCCGCACAGTGGAAGGAGAGAGCCAACTCCCAACACTTGTTCTCTGAACTACGCGCGCGCGCACACACACACACACACACACACACACACACACACACACACGGGAATTAAGTCCAACTGCCAAATACCATGTTTTCCAAAGCATTGAAACTTTTTCCATGTGCATGAATTTACAGGAAAGTCATTCTATTTTAGGTTACTAACAAGCATGCGAAAGTCAACTAATCAAAATAGAAGATTCCAAAATAATTTTATGTCTGTTGCTTTGGGTTTTTGTGGGGGGTTAAATTTCATGTAGCCCAGACGGGCCTGAAATAGTGATGACCCTGAACTCCTGATCCTCCTGTCTCCAGCTCTGGAGATTAGAGGCACGTGCCAGCATACTCCACTAGGAATGATTTAAAACGTAACTTTGATGCCATGCCAGATCACTGGCCATGTGCATGCAATGTATGCACATGTGTGTGTGTTTGTGTATGTTCCTGTGTGCATGTGAGCGTGTGTGTGCATGTGTGTGTTCGTGCATGAGTGTGTGCCTGCCTGCGTGCATGTGTGTGTGTGTGTGTGTGTGTGTGTGTGTGTGTGTGTGTACAGTACTGGGGATTAAATCAAGATCCTCATGCATGTATGTTTCATCTCCGGCCCCACATCAGATTTCTCTGGTCTTAAGCTATGTAACCATTGCTCAACCAGCCTTATCAATTTCAATCCCTACAACAGACAGACAGACTGAATTGCTATTAAGTACACTTTACAGCCTAGACAGAAGAGGTGCAAAAGGCTTACTTCGTGTGTACAGAATTCAGACCACGGAGCAGGTCAGCCCAACAGCTGAGCAATGCTATTTTTCCTCTCAGACGTCTACATGAAACCCCCAGAGCTTAGAATCCTGGACAATCCCTGGAAGTGTGGGGACAAGTGAAAGTCAACTCTTCCCACATTCATGTTTTTAAAAAATCTGTTTTCTGCATTACTGTTTTGACACGCTAAATGAGCGAGTCACCCTTAACACGGGCTGTGGGACTCCCCTATCATCTCTTTCCTTCCTTCTGAGGAGCTGCCTTTGCCCCCACCCCACCACCTAATAAAGCCACTGAACCGAGTGATGTCTATGATTTATAGAAAAAAAATCAGAAACCTATGCTCTTTCTTAGACAATCCGCACACCTTAGTTAGGCTGAGCATTCTAGGACTTTCATACCGGAACAACACTTTTTAGTTGTTCTCAATCTTATTTCTTGGTGCTACGAAGTGTCCACTGCCAAATATACCTCCAATGTAGTTACAGTTTGTTCAGTCCCCCTGCCAGGCCATAGATGTGTCCTCTACTCCTGCCTCAGGAATTCCCCCAAATAAATCGCAACGTGTAGGACAATTGGAAGCTAAGAGCCAACCCCTAAAACCCAAAAGAAGTAGTGTAGGTAAACATTGCTATATCAGGCCCCTGTTTTCCCTTCTCCTCCAATCCCAGACGGTCTCCTTGCAGGAAGCAAGGCACCTCATTAAATGCTCAATTATTCTTGACTTGGTTCCATGGACTGGCCTGCCGCGTTCACGTCTCTACCTCTTGTTCGGTTGTTTGCTGCAGAGGGACCGGAGGTCAACACCAGGAATCTCTCTATTTTGAGACAAGATCTCTCGATGTACCTGGAGTCCACTCCACTAAGCTAGAGCAGCTGGCCAGTGAGCCTCGGCCACCCCGCCTGTCTCCGCCTCCCCCAGCTCTGGGGTTGCAGGTGCACGCTGACTCCCCAGCTTCCCACCTGGACGCTAGAGATCTGATCTCAGATCCTTGTGTTTGCTCGGCTGAGCTGCACACACTCCAGCCCCGCCCATCCCTGTCCCCTACCCTGCTCTTCCCAGAGCATCTCCTTGTCTTCTGCCAAGAAGCTGTTGATGGGCCTGTCCACTCCCCGATCCTTCCCCCGTGAGTGACATGGAGCAGAAGGCAGCTTGGTGTCACACCAGAATCATGATAGCAGGAAGCTCGGGATCAGCCCCCAAGATCTCCCAATTTCCTCCGCACGGGTCTGCCTGTATGAAAACAAGCCGGTGTGTTTAAGATTTTCAATGTAAACAGCTTGGCAAAGCAGCCTTTAAATTGGCCCTGGGGGATTGCTTTGAGAAACTGTGCCTTTCTTAGCTCGGTCTATCTTCCCCCTTCTTCCAGTGAGCATCTAAATTGTCCCCTCTGCCACTGTACATCATTGCACTGTAATTAGTGAGACTTAAACAATGCAGCCATAACTAAACCAGATTAGCTATCAGAGTTCAATCTAGTGAGAACAAAGGCATGCTATTCACTTTGCTCCGAAATCCCAGGGACACATAAACACAAATGGGCAAAGTCAGTGTGCTGGGACTCCTGCAAAATCACGTGATCTGTGAAAGGTGAATGCCTGAAACTATGAGAGCCAGCTCCATGTGCCTGTCACTGCTGTTTCTCGCCTCAAAGCCATCCAGCTTTGGAAGGAAACTAGCCACAATAGCTCACGCCTGGAACGCTACCTCTCCGAAGGCCTCGGAAGGAAAGCTGCCTGGAATTTGAAGATAGCTTGAACCTGTCTCAAAAGAAAAACCGGGTGAGGTGTGTGGAGAAATGAAATGTCTCAGGGGTTAACAATGCCTGTTGTTCTTCTGTGAACCACGGTTCTGTTTCCAGCACTCGTGGCGCTCTGGTGATGCAACCTCCTGCATCTCCAGCTCCGGGAGATCTGACGCCCTCTTCTGGTCTCCATGGGCACGTGCACTTGGTCACACGCACATCCACATGCCCGTGGTTTTAAATTATTTTATTTTCTTAGTTATGTGCATATGAATGTGTCTGTGTGTGGGTTTGTAAAGGGGATTGCAGCGCATGAGAAGAGCCAGACAAGTGTGTTGGATCTCCTGAGGCTGAAGTTGCAGGTAATTGCAAGATGCCGGCAGCCAAACTCAGTCCTCTGCAAAAGCAGAAAGCACTCCTCAGCACCGAACCATCTTTCTACATCTGTAAGTTAGATTAATAAAAACAAATCTTCAAGCCGGGCAGTGGTGGCACACAGCTTTAATCCCAGCTCTTGGGAGGCCGAGGCAGGCAGATCTCTGGAAGTCCCAGGTTGGCTAGAGACACATAATGAGATCCTGTCTTAAAAGAGAGAAAAAGAAAATGGGGTCAGGTCTGCAGCGACATACTCCATGGATAAAAGCATGCCACCAAGCCCAATCTCCTGACTTCAGGTCCCATAGCCCACACAGTAGAAGGACAGAGTTGACTCCCTCAAGTTGTTCCTTGGCCTCTGCACACACTCATGCATGCACGCTAAAATAAATAATAAATATTTTGAAACTTTTTTTTCTTGGTTTTCAGAGACAAGGTTTCTCTATATATCAGTCCTGACTGTCCTGGAAATCTCTCTGCAGCCCAGGCTGGTCTCAAACTCACAGAGATCCACCTGCCTCTGCTTCCTGAATGCTGAGATTAAAGGTGTGTGCTAAAAGTTAATCAATATGTATTAATAATATAATATAATATATATGAGGGTGCTCTGGAGTCAGCAAGGTGAGAAGTGAGTTAGCCTGATGTGCCCCAGCTGTTTGTATGTGCCGGGGTCCCCTCTCCAGGCCCTGCCTCCAAGCTGGATTCTTTAATCAAGAGATAAATATACCGCAGTGCTTAGTAAAAGCCCGGCCTGGCTTACAAATGCCAAACTCCCAGCTATGGTAAGCAGTCTACAGTCCCTCTGGCTCTCCTGGAGATCCACACCATGGCAGGAGAAGGCAGCCAGTTAAAAACACCGTCTTTGTCCACCCTCTGTCAGTCTCGTTGCACTGGTGGAGCCGAGTGTCTGTCCTTTCAAACACTCCGTTGTAAGAAGACCGGGGGCACCCACCTGACTGGATTCTCAGTCTGTTTATTCTCGTGTTTTCACTGTGAGCACGGCCAAGCCCTTTTACAAGCTTTGCTTTCTTTTCCACGATATTAATTACATTTTTATTCTGCCCGATATAAGCTGCCCCTATCGGCAGAAATTCGGGGCGATTTGAAAGAACAAGTAAACGTGTCAAAGAAGGGAGGGAAATGAAGAAAATAAAGACAGCACCCCCAGTTTATGGGATGTATAAGCCGCGTTTCCTGAAAAGATAAACGATTTGGTAATGAATAGATCCTTTAGGCCATAAAAAAAATCCATTTATTTTCTTTTGGATTTGAATGGAGGGGATTTGCATTCTCCCTTCGCAGTTCCATTTAAATTAGAATGCAGAGCATGAGACTACAATACAATCAAACTAAGAAATAATAATGGGGGGCGCTGTATTCTTCAGAAAGGCAAAACTCAGTCTGGTGCCATTACAGTAGGAAAAAGCAGACCAGCACCTACAGCTGGGGAAGAAAACACCGAGAGGCCTTCCAGGGCGCCTTCGAGTCACGCCAGAAGCTGGCCGGTTGTGCTTACGCCTCGCTTATTCAGGAAACTGGGCAATGTGTTTATCTAAGAGGATCTACCATGTCTAAAACGTCTGCTATTCTGACAGCAGCAAACTACATCCCAGTGTCTAATTATACATAGACAAGGGGCAACTTAAAAAGAAAATAAAAGCAGCAGGATGGAGATTTGTTTTGTGTTGTTTTCCCAAAAGAACATAAAAATGCTGTAAGCACCGGTGTTTCTGTTACTCCCTAATCCCCCCCCCCTCCCCTTCCTGGCTGTCACTCTTCCCCTCCCCCACCCCATGTGCTCGGGAGCCAGGATTTCAATGTCCCTGATGGCACCAACTCACAGGAGAGACCTCCTCTCCACTCCTGGCTGGTTTCTGAACACAAAGAACAAAGTACAAGCTATCAGGTCTTACAAAGTGGGAGGGAGAACAGGCCGCTGCTCTGAGCCGCAGGAATAGCCTGCCATAAAGAGACCTGCCGAGCACAGGCTTCCAGCTTGGAAAGGGTGTGGTGAAGTCTAAACACCTCCTGGGGCCAAACAGGTAAGAGGGCCGGCAGCCAGGTCCGGCAGGTGGGGTGTGGCAGTGCATCAGCACAGGCTGCTGGTTCACACTGAGACCCCCCCATGGCTATGGCAATTGAGGTCTGGACTCCGTGCGGCTTAAAGAGCTACGTACGTTTTGTCAAGGAAAGGCAGAAATGGGAACTTCCCTGTTAGAGCTTACATTAGAAACACTGACCACTATTTTCAGACTGTTTAAATACCATCTCAGTTGAACTAAACCCCATGGGAGGTGCAGGTAGTCCCCTGCTGTTGGAGAGCCTGGGGTTATTTCAGACATGGACTACTACAACAGCTTACCTATTAGTTTCACTGAATAATTCTGTCTCATTAGATTCGCTGTGGCTGATAAAACTGTGATGTGCTTTTTAGCTTTGCTGCATGACATTATTTTGTATGTGTGTATCTGTGTGTGTGTGTGTGTGTGTGTGTGTGTGTGTGTGTGTTATGGGAATGAAGTATGCCACCAGCCTAAGTGTGAAAGTCAGAGGGTATCTATAGTCTGTGTTCTTGACCACACAGGTCCTGGGAATCAAACTCAGTTGAGGTCATCAGGAATGGTAGCAAGTGCCTTTACTGACTAAGACATCCCAGGGACCTACACTGACACACACGTTTTCCTCCTTTATTTGTTCGGTTGTTTGTTTTTTGAGATGGAGTCTCGCTGGTAGCCCTGGCTGATATTAAAATCATGAGCCACCACGCCTAGCAACTGATTTTTTTTTTTGCTTGTTTATTTTAACTGAACATCCACTGCTTCCTAAGTCTTTTGTTTAGTGTGCTCTTGTCTGTACAGAAAACAGCTCTGAACCCCACTTATCTGGCCTTATTAAGAAATGCAGGAATTTAGCTGGGCGTTGGTGGCGCACACCTTTAATCCCAGCACTCGGGAGGCAGAGGCAGGAGGATCTCTGTGAGTCTGAGACCAGCCTGGTCTACAAGAGCGAGCTCCAGGACAGCCTCCAGAGCCACAAAGAAACCCTGTCTCGAAAAACAAAAAAAAAAAAAAGAAAGAAAGAAATACAGGAATGTGAAAGAGAAAAATTAGGAAGGTGCTATTGTCTCCTGAAGGGAGTGGACTGGTGATTATGAATCACATAATTAAATCTTAGCTCTGCTGGACTGGTATCCCCTCCAGAGAATCAGGAAGGATTTCCAAAGAGCTGGAAAAGAAGGCTTCTCCTCATTTGCTCTGTGTTAACACTAAGCCCAGATTTTACCTCCAAGTCACACCACACTCAGTTTGGTTTCCTGAAATTCGTATCTACATTTCTCTTTGAGGGTCACAGGGACAAAATGGAAAGTTAACAGTCCATTGTGTTGTGGACACTCTCCCTCCTCAGTGCTGATGTAAATGGAGATGGGTGAGGCCTGGGAAGGAAGTAGGGTCAAGAGATCAAGTCTCTCCCCAGCTATATAGGGAGTTGTAGGCTAGCCTGGGCTTCAAGAGACCCTCGTCTCAAAGTAAATAACTGGATAGACAAAAAGTATTGCATATGTAGAATGAGGACTATTTGGTATGATTTTCCAGAAGGCAATGAGCCATAAAGGATAAAAGGCAAATTTTGCTTTTCGCTTTTATTTAAAAAAAAAAAAAACAACATTTTTAGACAGGTGGTGGTGCACATCTTTAATCCCAGCACTCAGGAGGCGGAAGCAGGTGGATCTCTGAATTGGAGGTCAGCTGTTCTACGAGTGAGTTCCAGGACGGGCAGAGATATACAGGGAAAATCTATCTGGGGGTAAAAATGTCTTTTTACCAAAACCCTTTTTTAAAAAAAATTCCTTAGGCCGGGCGTTGGTGGCGCACGCCTTTAATCCCAGCACTCGGGAGGCAGAGGCAGGCGGATCTCTGTGAGTTCGAGGCCAGCCTGGTCTACAAGAGCTAGTTCCAGGACAGCCTCCAAAGCCACAGAGAAACCCTGTCTCGAAAAACCAAAAAAAAAAAAAAAATCCTTAAAAAATTAATTGTGTGTATCTGTGTGTGGGTACAAGTGCCCAGCCTGGCCTCCAACTCACTGCGTAGTCTGAACTCCTGATCCTTCTGCCAGGTGCTGGGGTTGCAGGTGGCTAGGACAGGGGTGGGTCCACTTTGGTGTAACTGTCGTACTGTTTGGGATTTACCACCTCTCACCTGTGAACGAACTAAGCTCGCAGGATGCTACCTAGCACAGAGCACAGTGAGGATGTCAGCCAGCCGCATACAGCTGGCTGTCCCTCAAAGCCAGCCAAAAGCTCACATACACCAAAGTCCCACCCACTACCACTGTACAGCCGCTGGCAAAGGTCAGGTGTAGCCATGTCGGCCAACACAGAAAGTCTGTGGAGGCATACAGTTCGGCAGGTAACGATTGCCGGTGTGTGAGTAAAGTGTGGAATGGCTTCTCAGCGGCTGAGTAAGCACTTGCCACATGAGCCTCACGACCCGAGTTCAGTTCTTGGAAGCGCTATCCTTCCCGTATGTCCTGTGCAGCATGCACACACTTACACAGGAACACACACACACACACACACACATGTGAAAAGAAATTGTGGGGGGGGGCGGTGCACGCACACCTTGCCCTGCGTGTGAAGGTCAGAAGACAATATGAGGGAGTTGGTTCTCTCCTTTTCACCCCGTGGTCCCAAGACTCAAACTCAGGACATAAGGCTTGGTCACAAGTGACTTACCACTAAGCAACCTCACTCTCCAATTGATAAAACTTTGTCAGTAGTGAAGAAATGGCTCCCTGATTAGGAGCCCCTGGATTCGGTTCCCAGCACCTGCTCACAAACACCTGTAACTCCATTTCTAGGGGATCCAACGCACTCTTCGGACTCTCTCACGCACCAGACACATATGGTGCACAACACCCATACACACAAAAAGTAATTTAATTTTTTTAAGGTTTTAATACATATAGCTTTGGTGTCCTGGAACTCACTATGTAGACAAGGCTAGCCTCAGACACATCAAGGTCTGCCTGCCTCTGCCTCCCCAGTCTAAGACTAAAGGTGTATGCTACCGCAACTGAAAATTTAAAAATCTATTAGTTTAAAAACAAAACAAAACAAAACAAAAAAAAGCAGGGTCTCACTGTTTTGCCTGGGCTGGTCTAAAATTAGCTATGCACACCCTACTAACTAGTTATGTATCCCCAAGCAAGCCAAACTAAAACAAAAAACAAGCAAAAAAAAATTAAAGAAACTTATTTAAAAAGTGTGTCACAACATTCACCAAGATATGGAGGCATACTTTAGGAGAAAGAATCTTGGGTGCTTCTCGTTTTCTTTGTGTTTTCCTTTAAAGTGGAGCCCTGTTGTTTTAAACAAAAGCCTCATGAAACCGAGAAACAACTTGAATGCATAGTGGAACTGAAAAAAAGAGGGAAAAAAAGTCTCTGTTAATAAGAATTGAATGGCAGCCAGGCGTGATGTTGCTCCTTTAATCCCAGAACTCAGGAGGCAGAGGCAGGTCAGTCTGTGTGTTCGAAGCCAGCCTGGTCTACAGAGTGAGCTCCAGGACAGCCAGGGCTACAAAGAGAAAGCCTGTCTCTAAAAACAAAAACAAAACAAAAAGAAATAAATTATAGCTTTCTCAACTCCACTACGAATTGCCTCACACTGAGTGACAGCCCGGCTGAGATTCCCCGAGGGTGGAACACCTCTCACTATAAACAGCCGACACACTTAGGGAGCCAGCACTGTCTGTGCCAGCCACCCAGCTTGTCACAGCGTGGAGCGCCACAATGCATCTTTGTGTTTTCTTCTTCCTGGCTTGAGCTCCTCGTCAGGTCTTGGGCCCTGTGTGACTCACTTCTGAAGCCACATCTACACAGACCCACAAGAACGAGTAGAAAGAAGAAAAAATTAAGATTGCGGGCCGGCAAAATGGCTCAGCAGGTAAAGGCACTTGCTGCCAAACCTGATGACCTGAGCTAGATCCTTTCCCTGGAACCCACACGTAGAAGGAGATCGCTAACTCCCGTATGTTGACCTCAGACCTCCACATATGTGCTGTGGAGCACACACCACACACACAAGTAAACACTGTAACTTTTTAAAAGATTTATTTATTATGTATACAGTGTGCTGCCTGCAGTGTGTTTGCACACCAGATCTCATTACAGATGGTTGTGAGCCACCATGTGGTTACGGGGAATTGAACTTGGGACCTCTGGAAGAACAGCCAGTGCTCTTAACCTCTGAGCCATGCCTCAGTCCAAACATAATAATTTTTTTTGTTTTGTTTTGTTTTTCAAGACAAGGTTTCTCTGTATTGTTTTGGAAGCTGTCCTGGAACTCACTCTGTAGACCAGGCTGGCCTCAAACTCACAGAGATCCGCCTGCCTCTGCCTCCCGAGTGCTGGGATTAAAGGCGTGTGCCACCAACGCCCGTGAGGTTTATTTTTATGTGTATGACCCCTTACATGTATTTTTAACATTCCTACTAATCCGTAGCTATTCTATTCATTTCCCACTGTGTCCTAGGCAGGAGTGTGTAAAGATCGTTGCATAAGGGGAAAGTCGGGAACAGACTGAGGGGAGGATGGGGCAGGGGAAGGGGAGAAAGGGAAGGGGGAAGGGAAGGTTTGCAGAGGTGCGTGCTGTCTTTCGGGGAGAACCTGCTTTATCACAGCAGGCCGGGTCTATGTGCAGACTGAAGTCACCTACTTGATGGATTCTGGAAGTGACGATTGAAGTGGGAAGGTATCCGAGACATAAAACGTCCTGCCTTGATTCCAACTGATATATCACCATAGCCCCAGGCTCTAATAACACGCATTTATTTCCCACCAGGGAGGGTAAAACACGAGGCCAGCATGGGAGCATCTATGAGGACCCTCTTCCAGGCTGCAGCCAGCTGACATCTTGTATCCCCACAGGCTAGAAAGAAAGCAAATGAGCTCTGTTGGCCTCCTCCTCCCCTTCTTCCTCCTCCCTCCCTCCCCTCTCACCTCCCCCTCCCCTCCCTCCTCCTCCCATTCTTCCTCCTCTCCTCCTTCCTCCTCTCCTCTCTCCTCCTCCCCTCCCTCCTCCTTCCTTCCCACCTCTTCACCTCCCTCTTCCTCCCCCATCCTTCTCCCCTCCTTCCTCCCCTCCTTCCTCCTCTCTTCCTTCTTCCTCTTCTCCTTTCCTCCTCCCCCCTCCTGCTCTTCATTCTTTTTTTTTAAGTCAGTTCATGTGCTAGGGATTCAATCCTGGTCCCACTGTCAGGGGCCACACAGACTCCCCAAGTCACACCACTGTCACCTGCATTCAGGGGGCCTAGTTCAGTCCCGTGCAGGTTCCCCAGCTGCCGGTCCAGAGTCAGTGAGCTCCCACTAGCTCGGATCAGCTGATTCTGTGGGTTTCCCCCATCATGAGACCCCTTTGCTCATATTATTGCTCCTCCTTCTCTTCGACTTCAGTGAGTGAACACAAGCGTGAGGACCTGAGTTCAAATCCCCAGTTCCAAATAAGAAGGTTAGCAAAGATGGCTCTGACCTGTAACCCAGTGTGGTGAGGAGTGTAGACAGGAGGACCACCATCCTAGCTCCAGGTCCTGGAGACTCTGGCTTAAGGAAATAAGGCGAGTCCAAGGATCTCACGCCCCCTTCTGGCATCCGCGGGTACTGCACTCATGCTCACGTGCCCACACACACATAGGCACTTACTAAAAAATTTAAAAATAGTTTTTAAATATTACAAAGCTGACCCATAGGAATGCCTCGGTGGTTAAGAGCACACAATGCAGCTAGGCATGCTGGCACCTCTCTCAAAAGCAAAACAAATAAAAAAGCACTCCTTGCTCTTGCAGAGGGCACAGGTTCGATTACCAACATGTACATGGTAGTTCACAACCATTCATAACTCCAACTGCAGGGAACCCCACACCCTCTTCTGTCCTCCCTGGGCAGCAGGCACACACATGGCACACATATACACATGCAGGCAAAACACTCATAGACATAAAATAAAATAAATATAAAAAAAATACAAGAACCCGTATTGTAGGAGGTTGCTCACCTCACGCTGAGAAAATGAGAGCGCAAGGTAGCCAAGTGGTTGTTCAAAGTCACACAGTAGTGAACAGAAGACAAGGATGAGAGAAAAGGACAGGCTCTGACTCACTGACTCAGACACGCACTAACCCTGATAGGCTGTGAGGAAAGTTCAACAGAGGCGGAGAGCAGAGGCTCCCTTCCCTGGGCAGTGTCACCATGGCCTCCTTCAGGGAGGGCATGCACAGCTCTCTGTCCTAAACTAGACTTCAGTCCCCCAGAGGAAGGGCACTAGAGCCCGGTTTGCAACGGCCTGCAACAGTGGAATGAGGCCTCTGACGTGAGCAGCGCCTGCTCCAACACAGAGCGTGGCCCCCGGTCCCGGTCCCCTCTGATAGGCCACACGCGCACTCTCTGCAGTCATTCATCCTGTGCCCTTGGCAACACCACTGTCGTCAACATGTTAGACGGTGAACCCAGCTGTCTCGCTTAGTCCGGTTTGGTGTTGGAGAGAGGGTCTCGGGTAGCCAACCTTTCCATATCAGGAGTGCTGGGCTCCCAGACGTACGCCCTCAGGCCTGCGTGGCTCAGGGCAGTGTTATGCTCAACCTAAGAACACAGACCAGGTCTTTGTCATCCACCCTGACTCCGCTTCAACCAAACACCTGTATTTTTATATTTTGCAGTACCTGGGCGCCAAGCCAGGGCCTCACCCGTACTAGGCAAGCGGCTCACTGCTAAGTCACACCCCCGGGACCAGGGAAAGACTTGAAAATGTCGTTTGAGCAGTTCATGACAGTACACACAACGCATGCCCCTGCTTTTCAAGGAATTACCCAATAACTTGGATGGATAGAGCAGACATTGTTTTGGGGCTTTGGAGAGATACCAACTTGGTGCCATACTCCGTGGATGCCTGAGGCAAAACACTGTCCAAAGGTTCTTGAGGACAGTGACAGACACAGTCAAACTGCCGTCCCACTCCTGGAGACGCTGCATCCCAGAACCTGATCCTGAGTCTGAATTATTTAGCCGTCTGAGTTTCCCCCTGAATCCTGACTGCAAATGAAGGAGGCAATGCAGGCCGCGTCATTCATTCACCGAGTTTATTCTTAACGGTGGATCATTAGTGTTTGTGTTCGTGTATGGATGAACCATAGCCCAAACGTGGACTGAGAGGAAAATCTGCGCGCCCGTTGTCCCCTCCCCCCCTCCCTGCTTTTAATCCCCGAGTTTTGAGGATTATCACGGCTGTGAGACAAATTTACCTGCTGAGGCATATTACTAGACCCTCAATAAAAAACTTTAAAACTACTGCTAGCGCCAGGCGGGGGTGGCGCACGCCTTTAATCCCAGCACTCAGGAACTCTGTGAGTTCCAGGTCAGAAACCTGTCTCAAAAATTCAAAAAAAAACCAAAAATTACTATTATGGCTGGGTGGTGGTGGTGGTACCCGCCTTTAATTCCAGCACTTTCAAGGCAGAGGCAGGCTGATCTCTGAGTTTGAGGCCAGCCTGGTCTACAGAACGAGTTCCAGGACAGCCAGAGCTGTTACACAGAGGAAACCCTGCCTCAAAAAAAAAAAATTATTAATTATTTCACTTTTGTGTACGAGTATTTTGCCTGCATGTACATGCCCCACACCCACAGAGTCCGGACAAGGGTACTGGATCCCCCAGGACGGGAGTTACAGATGGTTGTGAGAGCAACTCACCACGAGTGCTGGGAACCGAACCTGGGTCCTCCACAAAAGCAGGGGGGAGCTCCAGGCTGCTGAGTCATCCCTTCCCCCGTCCCCCGCCCCACTCTCCCAGTCCCGTTTGTATTTTCTTAAGGATTCTTCCTTTGCTGCAGGCCAGGTGAGCCTCCAGCCCCCCATGTAGCTGAAGATAGCCCAGTTGCTGGCCCGCCTCCTGAGTGCCGGGGCTACAAGTGTGCATCAGCCACATCTCATGTGGCTCCAAACACCGGCATGAGGACCAAAATCCTCCCGCTGTGGAGCACACTTAAGGCCAAAAAGGCAGACAACATTATCATGGTGAGAAGACACAGCCTACAATGCCATTTGCTGCCAAGCCTCTCGAACAGAATTCAGTCCCCAGGATCCACACTCTGGAAGGAGAACTGACTCCCCCAGGCTGTGTTCTGACCTCCACTTGACTCCAAGGCCTGCACACACACACACACACACACACACACACACACTTGTAATTTTTTTAATTAAAAAGGACACATCTTGTGTGAGACAGCAGTAAGCACATTTTAGTATACATTCATATACTATGATGTTTGTTTGGTTTAGATAAGGTCTCACTACATAGTCCTGACTGTCTTGAAATTCCCAATATAGGCTGGGCTAGCCTTGAACTCACATAGGCCCACCTGCATCTGCCTCTCCAATATTGGGATTAAAGGCATGCTCGAACGTGGCCCTGTTAAAATGCTTGCAGGTTTTATTAGCCAAGCCTATCTACTCCCTCATAATCTTATCATAATCTTGCCCAGCAAAGAAATACAGACCATAGTCCTGCCTGCGTCGTTCCTTACAGACATATGTAGAGCCACAACAGCCGGTAAGGAGAAACACATCTGCCCTAAGAAGTCTGAAGCAACAAAACCAAAATATCAAGCATTTCCTTTCTTGAACTGGGGGTGGTGCTCAATTGTGGAAGGCCTGCCCTGGATTCTACCCTAGCATCACATAAACCAGGCACAGTGGAGCACATCTGTAATCCTAGTGTTCGAGAGATAGAGGCAGAATATCCAGGAGCTACACAGTGAGTTCAAGAGCAGCCTGTGCCACACACACACACACAAACACGCACATATATTGAAAGCACCAAGTCAGCATCAGATCACTACACTAGAACAAGGACAACCAACTGCAAGTTACTATGGAAACTCAGATGTCCTCTGGAAATGTGTGCATCACTTTTTTTTTTTTTTTTTTTTTTTTTTTTTTGGTTTTTTCGAGACAGGGTTTCTCTGTGTAGTTTTGGAGGCTGTCCTGGCACTCGCTCTATAGACCAGGCTGGCCTCGAACTCACAGAGATCCGCTTGCCTCTGCCTCCCGAGTGTGCATCACCTTCTAAGGTAAATAAGTTCATCAAAAGGTAGAAGCAGACACTGAAAGACAGCCTGTTTTCTGATGACTATCCCCCGAATCCTAAGTGTGAGAAGGATTTCCCACAGGATGCCTGCACATCAAATCCACAGCCCAGCATACTGATCTCTGTCGGGCAGGATAGCTCAGGTGAGTTTGATTCCTGAAAGCAGAGAATCAAATCTAGAAGGTTGTCCTCTGACATCCACATGTGCTCAAACACATTACACATACCAAAGACTAAAAAGAAGGGAAAAAAAGCACGAATACCACTGAGGTCCAGTGAGATGACTCAGCTTAACTAAGGGGCTTACAGCCAAGCCTGATGAATTGATCCAGCCCTCCGGACCCACTTGGTGAGAAGAGAGAGCCACAAGTTTCCCTCTGACCCTCACATAAACATTAGCACACACATGGTTACATTAAATAAATTAAATTTTAATAAAAAGATAACTTCAACCCCCTGTGACTCTAGTTCCAGAGCTGCCACCCCCCCAGTCTTCCTACATTTGCTGGGCATAGCTGTGCTCTCACACACACAAGAATGCATATACATAGAAATAAAATAAATTTTAGAAGTAAAATAATAATAATTCAAGAAAAGACCACCAAACTGCTCCCTTTCACCCATCTCTCTTATGAATGAATATGACATACAAAATGGCGTTTCTTGTCCACTCATTTAAACATTTCCTCTCCTTTTTTTTTTTTTTTTTTTTTTTTGGTTTTTGGAGACAGGGTTTCTCTATATTGTTTTGAAGGCTGTCCTGGAGCTTGCTCTGTAAACCAGGCTGGCCTCAAACTCACAGAGATCCGCCTGCCTCTGCCTCCCGAGTGCTGGGATTAAAGGCATGTATCACCAGTGCCTGGCTCTTCTCCTTTCAAGATCATTTCTGCAGGACACCTTTTGATCATACAATCCTTTCTCTTGATCTAATAAGACATCCTGAGCCAGGTGGTGGTAACCTTTGGTCCCAGCACTCGGGAGGCAGAGGCAGGGGGAATCTCTGCGAGTTTGAGGCTAGCCTGGTCTACAGAGTGAGTTCCAGGACAGCCTGGGAAACCCTGTCTCAAAAAACAAAAACAACAACAACAAAAAAGACATCCTGTACAAAGAAAGGAACCCATCTTTGGAGTCACTTGAAAGAGCAAAAAGATCTAATAGAAGAATAAACCTGTGAGGAGGGGGATTGAGTGCTTGGCACCCTTGAGCTACACGAAACTTTTGAGATAGGAAATGCTGAATTTAAAAGCTGAGGAGAAACAGCACTGTTTGAGGCGTAGTCACCTCTGCTGAACACAAGGAGCCCCGAGGCGATCAGACAGGGGCTTCTGAGGCTAGCTGAGGATGCCAGCCCCTCACTGATAGCTGAGAGACCTGAGGTGTTGGTGTTTTAGCCACTGTAAGTCTGGTCGGGTACACAACCCACCACAGCCTACAACCCTGTTGCAAAATGGAATTAAAGGGACATTCCATGAGCCAGGAGTGTCCTGGCCAGTTATATCAGAATATACACTAATGTCAACACCACCGGCTTGCATGGTTGTAGGTATGTGTGTAATGCATATGTGTTTACTTATTTGTTAAATAAGTGTAGCCCAAGCTGGCCTCAAACTCACTATGTAGCTGAGGATGGCCTTGGACTTATGATCTTCCTGTCTCTGCTTCCTGGGTGTTAGGATTACGGACACATCTCTGCACAGATTCTTTTATGTCAGACAAGAACCCTATGAGCCAGGCTTCCGCCTGCTGTTTTGTCTTTCAGACAGGGGCTTGTTGTGTAGCTCAGGCTAGTCTTGAACTCACCACTGTCCTGTTTCTTCCTCCCAAGTGCTGGGATGACAGGCATAGGCTATCACAAGTGACTCTGTAGAAGTCAAGAAAAGAGAGTGAACTTAAAAGCCATTTATCATGCGTCCCATAGAATCGACCTTATTCCTATGAAAGAGCTTAAGGAGGGAAGTGTATTGGACTCTGAGCACTTCCTTAACTCTTTGTTCTAGATTGCTACATGCTTGTTTTCTCTGGCAGGGTACACAGGGTCTCATATTGCCCAGGCTGGCTTCAAACGCCGATAAGTAGCTCAGGATGACTTTGAACTCAGCATCTCCTACACTTCCTCCGGGTTCTGGGATTCCACTGTGGTCTGGCCGGCACTCTAGTAAGGGACAGAGTGTGTAAAGTGTTTTTTCAAGATCTCTGGTCCCTACGCCATTCAGAAAACCTTTGCAGGACGACCAAAAAAAGAAAAGCTTAAACTTGAAACTTTCTTTCGAAAGGGAAATCCCGTCTCGAAAGCGTTTCTCAGAGGGCCAAGGAAACAAATCACTTGATTTGAGCAGGGAGCGATTCTTTAGAGAGAGGAAGGAAATCAAAGACAAATTCCTTCACGACTTTCAAGAGCAAGCCTTTCCAGAGCAACGCGACTTAGTTCCTCCATTCACCCAACTCCTTCTGGAGAGAGGAAATTAGTTTACTGCCATATCGAAATAAAGAAGCCAGGAGGCTGAGTTCCAGAAAATCACGTGGTGCCTCCCTCCCCCCACATCCTTCACAACCCTGGGAGAGCCCATCCCCGCCCGCCACACCGTTTGCACAACGTACTGCGGCTGCGTGTTGCAGCCTGACAGCCTTGCACACTCGGGGCAAATTGGGGAGTTGGGGAGTAAAAAGTGCAGAGAACCACCAAGAACCTGACAGCCCGACCCAGTCTTTGCATTTCGCCCTGCGGCGGACGCATCCTTAGACGCCAGCCTCCTCCGCATCCCGGGTCCTGCTCCCTGGACCCCCAGGTGAGGACCACGAGCGGAGTGCACCCCGGGAACCTGGAGGCGTTTCTTCGTATTTTTAATTATTCGGACCTGGATAAGTTCTTCGTGTAAACAAAAAGGGCACTTGTGAAGTGACTTCTTGCTACTATTGTTCCTTCCCTCACTCCTCCTCTACCCCTTCCCCTCTCGTACCCTGCTCCTCCCCTCCCCCCGCACCCCAACGGGTGTTCTGTTTGGTAGCCGTCCAAGCCCCAAGCCATAGAGATACGCCCATTATATAGAGCTATAAATAGGAGGAAAGGGATTATCAACTTAAAAATCTGAAGGCTGTGACATAACCGGTCAGTACTTTTGACCGAGAAAAGCGATCCACTGGTTTGAGAAGCCCAATGAGAAAGATTGTTGGCAAGAATGAAAAACCGGTAACAGAGACCGGCGA